GTGGGGGGGGGGGGGGGGGCTTTCTTCCCCGGGGGCCGGGAACCCTGGTTTTCGGTCGCTTCCAAAGGCTTTATTTCATTACTCTTCCAGGTGGTGCATCTCGGCGCCTGAACCTGCTGCTTGTGTCTCCTTTGGTACCCATAGTCGCAGTTGGGGTGTTCTGTGTAATAGGTTGGTTTTTGTTTTTTTTATTCCTTTCTAGGTGTGCCTCTGTGCCCTGACAGCGGGTTTTCCCTCAGACGTGCGTTGCGTTAGCCGTGTAAACTAGCAGAGCTGGAAAGGAAGGTGCCTCCGTGGCCCCTGTCCCTGCCCCGGTGACGGGGAGGGGGCCGGGCGGGGGTCCAGCACCCCAGGGGAGGGACGGTACCATGTCGACTGCAGGCCGGTTTTGTGCCTAATGCGTTGCACTGAACAAGACCAAAATCACTAGTTGTTCCCGTGTTTTGAGGGTATCAAGTGTCTCTAGTGTGATGGTTTACACAACCAGTTAAATAGCCCTTTATTTAAAGAGAGAAACATCATTTTAAGAGTTATTAAATTATCTAAGTTTAAAATTAAAATCAGACAGAAGAGAGAGCGTATTTATAGTCAGCTTTTTTATCTGAGAGGGCGAGAATATTTGACCATACGAATGGGGAAATATTCTCGGAGACTTTGCTAGTGAAAAGTTAATAAATAAATAATTTTAAAGTTTCTCATGAACCTCCCGCAAACTGTTTGTGGCTCAGAGGTTAGTTTTTATAAAGAGTTATCAGACTTTATTTATAAAACTTAGAAAAAAGAAAAAAAAAAAAAGACAAAAAAAGAGGCAAGTCCTGTTTGATATCTTTTTGCAATTGTACCAAAAGTGACTTATTCTCGACCTTGCTGGCTTCCGTTGTGTCCCCTCGTGTTGCGCTCTCTGTGCTCTCGGAGCTCTCGCGTGGCGCTGTGCTGTGGTGGTGCCAGTGGCTGCCTTTGCCGTCTGCTGTCGTTTCGTGCTGCCGTCATTTTCCCCAAAGCTCAGCCCCGGAGATGGAGCTGGAATCTCTCCCAAGTCCTTCAGAAGGATTCTGGCACGCTGGGCAAAGGGACCGCTGTTCTTGAAGGCAAAAAAAAAAGAATGGCTGGTGCAAGGAGGTAGTGATGCCTGCCCAGAAAACGCTGCTCTGCTGGAGGAGCTGAGCATCTGACAGCAGGGAGCTCCGTTACCTGAACGGGGAGAACGTTGTGCTTTCCTTCCCCCCGGCAAAGCTGGTAGAGAAGTAACGCGAGGGAGAATTGTCCAAGTTCAGGAGGAGACTGGTGGGATTTAACTCTGGAATTGGATCCTGTGGTCTGAACGGGCGTTGCTCTCGTGGCTCACCTGACGAGGGGTGACCTGCCTGCCTTCTGGGCAGTGTGGGACCAGTCCCGGGTGTCTGCACAGCACTGAGAATTGAGCTGTGGCAATGGTTACTGTCTTTCCTGGTGGAGATTCTGTCCGTGGGTGTTGGAAGCGTGCTTAGACCTACAGTTGTGCGACACAGCTGAGAAGCTATTTGTGGCCAGGCTCCATTTCCACAAACACTTTGATCATCCCTCTCTCCCCTCCCCAAAGATTTGAGCTGATTAGTGGGTTGTTTTAGAGAACCAGGAGGTGGGGGTGAAGTCCGTGTGATCTCCTGGCCGTGGAGGGGACGGACCAGGATGGCACAAGCGAAATTGCAGTCTTGCGGGGACCGCTGGGTGGTTTTTGGTGATGTGTTTCTCACGTAGCTGAGCCCATACTGCTGTCCTCTGGGCTGAGGAGCAGGTAAAAACCCGATGAGAGTTAGAGTGTGGCAGCAGAGGAGCAGGTAGTTGATGGGGATTTCCTGCTGGAGGGGGAGATCAGCTTTGCTCTGATTAATTGGGACTTTAGGAAGAAGCTGTTTGGGATGCTTTTCCCAGTGAGCTTCCTGGACGAGGAGCTGGTTGGAATATTGCCTGCAGGCCTCCCCCTGCCAGCCCTGGACTTTTTATTCCCTGAGCTGAAGTGTCCGACGTGCTGCCTCCCAGCCATTCACCCAAGGGGCTGTGCACTGAGCAGCACATAGCTCTGGGCTCTAACCTTTGTCTTCCAGATAGTGAGGTGGTGCCTGGAAGAGGAGAGATGTTTCAAAACATGGAGACCTCCAGTTGGCCTGGGGTGTCAGTCCCAACCCTGTCCCTCCTGGAACCAGCCTGAGGTTGAACCTAGAGCCCGTTTCTGAACCCGGCTGGGTGAGCAGCCACAGCTTTGTGTATGGGGCTGGGTAGGAACTGAGCTCCAGGGGCTGGAGGTGTGAGGAGGGCCCCATTGACAGAGCAGATGACGGGCGATCCTGCAGCCATGGTGCACTTGCTTCCATTGTACTCTGCAGCAAGGAATGTCCGGGCCCTTCTCTGCCCACTGGGCTGCAGCGGCGCCGCTTTGGGAGCGAGACCGTGAGTCAGGAGGACAGAGCAGGCGGCAGCACTGACTCCACCAGATGTTAACGCTGTTGTTTCTCCTTCCCTGTGCTCTGCTTGCTGGCTCGTGGCCCCAGCCTGCTCCCAGTGGCCCAGGGTGTTCGATGAGGACATTCACGTAGCGGGGAGCAGGGGCAAAGCCGTGGCTGTGTGTGGCAAACGAGCTCTGCGGGCGCCAGGCTGGCTGTCAGCGGGGACGTGTTCCCCTTGAGTGCCACTTCCCTGTGCTAGCGTTTTGGTTTTGTTCTCAGTGAAGTGCTGGACCCCAGAGTGATGTATTTCCGCAGTGTCCGAGGAGTCTCCCCTCCTGCCCCGGGGAACCCGGTCCCCCCCATGCCAGCCGGCTTCCCGCGGGAGGCCTCCCTGCCCCGAGCCGTCACGCTGCCCTCTCTCTCGTTATATAGCGTTCTGGAGTGTGACAGTTCTTGTTCCTGAGGTGCTCGTTCCGTTTGGTTTCCTGCTGTGAAGGGTGTCGTGTTTTCTTTCTCCTTTTTCCCGGTGCCGGCGGTTGGGCCGGACGGGGCCTTGCCCGCAGAGCCAGCCCGTGGAGCGGAGCTCCCCCCCCCGCCGCCGCCGCCGCTTTGTGTATCTTGTGGTGAATTGTGTAAAGTGACCCCCGCCTTGGGGCGGCCTCGGGCGGGCATCGCTCCCCCCGGACGGGGCCGGGGAATCGGTGGATGGGGTGTGTGTGTGGGGCGGGTTGGGGAATGGGCCCCGTGCCCCCCGGCCCGGCCTGGCCTGCTCTCCCGGTAGCCCGTCGCACTGCGGGGCCTGGTCCCTCCCCGGGGCTGGGCGCGGCGGTATTTATTGCTAAGTTATTGCCGGGGCGGCGGGCGGGCGGGCGTTATTTATTGCTATTGTACAGAGTGTCCCGTCCGCGGCCGCCGCTGTTTTGTACGTGACAATAAACCGCTTTCAAACAGCCCCGGCCTGGCCGCTTCCTTTGGCGGGGGGGGGCGACGGGGGGTGTCTGCCGCGGCGATAGGGGGCGCTGCCGCGCCCGGGGAGAGGAGAGGGGGCGGTGGCGGAAGTGGGGGCTGAGCGAGGCGGAAGCGGGGCGCTTCCGGGGAGATGGCGGCCGGCGGCAGCCTGAGCCGCTCGGAGCGAAAGGCGGCGGCCCGCGCTGAGATCCTACGGCAGGAGGAACAGCGGGACCGGCGGAGACAGGTAACGGCGCGGTTCGGCTCGGCCCGTCACGCCATGCCACGCCGCTGCGGGCCGTCGTGACCACCCGTCTGTACCGGGCAGGTGTCTCGCATCTGGAGGAAGCCGCCGGCGGAACGGAGCCCCGAGGAATGTCAGGC